TCGTCGATGTGAATAGCGACAATAAACCCGATATTGTTGTTGCAAACTGGAATTCGAACACCGTCAGTGTTCTCTTGCATTGTTAAGAATTATCGATGACTAACTTTTATTTATTCATTAATATTTTACTACTCTACTACGAACATTGCTCTTATAAAACATTACACAATACACACTAACATTTATCTTCACTCTATATTAAGAATTTCAACAAAACTTTGTGAACAAGGTCGCCACCTCTTCTGCTTTTTTTCTGCCGTTTCTGCTTTTCCAATTTTTTTCTGCTTTTTAAAATATTATCTGCTTTTCATTTTTAACTCAATTTCAGTTCTAATAAATCATTATTGCACACATATCCGATGAATTCTTGGTACTCCACTTGCTGAGGCTGTTCTTTACCGATATATTTTTCTTTCTCAAGTATTTTCTACGAATCATCCAAATCTTTCAATTCATTGTATACAATCGTCTGTCTATTGTACACTGTTAGTTAAGAATATTATAAGTTATAATATTTGTACTTAGCAGAAAAAATGATTGCTGCTAATGATAGCCATATTGATAATGACGAAGATAGTAAAGCATCGGTAATAATCGAGTCACAAATATCATTCAATGATAGTTTCTAGAAACTGGCTATAAAATGGAAGAAAATTCATTTAAAACTATCTGCAAATCCGCAGAAATTTATCGTTACATTTCCAACAACTCAAGGGAGGTGATTCCGTCACTACAGACGAATGAAAAAAAAACTGGTAAAAGAGAACTGTCTTGCACGTCATTTTCTACAATATTCGTCATAGAAGTGACTGAAAATGAAGTGAAACATAAGTATATAGTGGAAGAAACGCACAGTAGATAAATTTTATCAAAAAATCAAGTTTTATCTACTCTTTTTATCATAAAAAAAATGCGGTATAAGGTTCGATATTGTGTTTGTCACATTTCAGAATAGTTAAAAAGGAAAGAAAAAGCAAAAGTTAAGATCTGTTTTCTTCTGACAAACGTTTTACAGATTGAAGTACAGCTGATGATCGACAGTGAATCAGCTAGATAAATTAGTGTCACTTGTACTTCGAAACTATATAAATTTAACTCTGTTTTAGGATAACTGTGATAGCCTTGAAATCGTGCTTTCGATATCGAGGTGAAAATATTTATCAAAGATATTAATAAGCTTTTTTTTGTGATCTTTGAAGGATATTACTAGATATGATAATCGATTATGAAATATCTGATATGTTTATTATAAGACAGAATGTACTGTATAGAACTATAAAAAGCATCTATTTTATCGTATGTCATTTTTGTAACACGTGTAATTACGACAAAACATCAGAATCGTGACTCATGTTTGTCGTCTGACGACACTGTATTCTTACTGAAATTTTGTTTTTCCTCCTTTAACATGGTATAAAATCGACCTTGTATACCGAAGTTTAATTCATTTATAACGTTATAAAAATATAATTTAGTATTAATGGTTGAAGCCGATGATATTACTATTGAATTAATTTCATTTGGCCATTCATTTGGTGTTCCACAAAATATTGATTTATTGTATTCAGTACGTCATTTTCCAGCAACTAATGTTGAAAACTATCAACAATACGATGGACGACATAAACGAATACAAACTGAATTATTCAATTTAGTGGAATATGAAGATATAATTAAAATGATTACAGAATAACTATCAATTTTCATTCCTAATCAAAAGAAAAATTCAATAAAACTAGCAGTTGGATGTGAACAAGGTCAACATCGATCAGTAGCCGTTATTGAACGACTGGCTGAATTGTTAAAAGTAACTTACAATGTAGAAGTAAATCATCGAGATTTACAAAGAACAAGATATGACGAGAAGAAACAAAAAGGAAGAACACAAAATAGAGACAAAAAATATACTAATTATGATGAAAATAATTAAATGAATTTTTGATATAGTATTTTAGCTGTAATATTACTATGAGAACTTTTTTTTATGACTATACATAAGCTTTTGAAATAAAAACTGATCTAGTTTGAGAAGAAAATGTTTTAATAATTCAATTGAATTAAGATAAAACTTCAATAGCTTAAATATTTTATTTGTTATAAATGACATATTGATAATTCTAAAAGATGAAGAGTCCAAAATGCTCTCATTTATTTATTAATTTCCAAAAATCATATGAACAAAATTTATCCTTTTTCTTTATATTTTTATTAATTAACCCATAAATCCCGAGTCATAGAGCTTTTCAACTAAAGCTGCAAGACCTTGATTAATAGCTTCTTGTGCAAATAAAGGAATATCTTCTAATCGACCATCACGAATTAATTGAAAAATATTTGGAAAATGTGCTAGATCACCTGATGACATAAATGCTTTTTCAGCAAAACTATGAATATTTGTCGACACTAAAAAATAATAGCTATCTTTTATTAGCAAAAATAAGAAAGAAATCTCACCAGAAAATGCTGATGCTAATGTATCAACCAAAATATTTTATTTTCATCAATACTTCTCGAAAGTTGTTCGCCAAATAGAAATGTATATGCAGCATGAAGAAATTTTTCAATATTTTCCTTTGCTGGACGTGTAGCTGCAATACATGTTTCTTCATTTTCTTCAAGATTATCAGAACAATCACCTGGATGACCATCACAAATAAATTGGAGAGCAATACATTGTTGACTTTGAGGACATTGAAATGGTTCCGATGGATCAATACATCCTAAATAAAAATAAACAATAGATTCAAGAAAAATATAATAGTCATCATATTTAACCTTTAAATGGAATAACTGGATGTAGAACATTGAATAATGATGATGCAGCACGATTTCTATTTGAACCAATCACTCGTTTATGATCAAACCATCATTTTAATAAATCATTAGAAATAGTTAACCAATGTGATTGAAAACCTTCAGGATATGGTCGAACAAAATGTGCATCAGGAGTTACTTCAACAATAGCTGTTAGGAAGAAGAAGATAAGGATAATAAGTAATGATGAAATAGACTTTGTCATAATCGTTGTACTGTTGAATGATGTTGTCAGTTCTATTATGGTGAAAGATCAGAAAAAGAAAAAAAATGTTTAAAGTTAGTAATAAAAACAAAAGGTAAAATTCTCTAGAGATATGTGAATAATTCTAGATTTTTTTATTTATATTGATCAGATCTCTTACACGTATAAATAAATAATATTACATGATTATTATCTAAAATATAAATGAATATGATAAATTATTTATTTTAAAATGTTACAATTCAATAAAATATCTAATATTAGATTTAAAATTACAATCGTTATCTTTCAAATGAATAGAAGAAATCGTATAAAAATTTACTCGATATAGTTATTAATATATATTAATAAGAGAAATAACTAAAACATTTTTTTGTTAATACTTTAAATGATAGTATAGCTCGGAGACACAGAAAAAAAATCTATCTAATATAGGAAATAATCAGTAGAGTACTTGTTTTGTTTTTGTGTTAACTGTGCTGTGATGCATTTTACGTTGGCAGATGAACAGGAGCATGATTATGATTAATAAAGTACTTTTTGTGTTTATCTCAACAATAGATTATAATAAACAATGAAAAATAGAATATTCATTTAACCAATGTAATCTCATAATCATAAATTTGTACTTTTAATTGTCAAAAAAAAATAGGCATACGCATATAAATAATAATTCTCATAAATCAAATAATATATCTTATAATGTGTTGTCATAAAATTTATATACGCAAAATAATTGATTTTTACTGAAAAAATCCCGAATATTACTAATAAAGATACTCATAGGAAAAATAAAACAAAGGTAAGTGATTATAGCTATTATTTTCCTTCAGGAAGTACGTAATTAGTAATAATTGTTAATACTACATGAACCTTACATCAATATAATCATTACGATCACTAAATGATAAAAACCAGATTTTCATTTTCTAAATGAGAAACATATTGAACTCAATAAGCGTTGTCACAATAGATGTCTAAAAATAGTACGTGAACGTACAGGGCATTTGTTGCTTTATTGAACTAAAAGTATATCAAGTGTAATGGAAGAAAAACGCTGATAGCAAACCATTTAAGAAACATTAATGAATCGTCGAATAAAAAGTGAACCACTAGAGGAAACGAACTATTTAATCGATTGAAAGTTTTTATCTTCAAATTCTATTCGATTAGGAATAAAGTCAAGTAGACAAATTAATATAGGTAAGTAGCAGTCTCGGCTAGAGAGTAGAAAATTTAAGAGCGTACACAGACATATCCGTGATTTCAGGGAGACCGTAGAATTCAAATTATTTTTTTGGTCTTACTTTGACTTACTTGTAATTGAATAATAAAATCAGAAATACTAGCGTACCTAAAATAATTGTCCTATATATATATATTACTTTCATAAGTAGGAGTAAAGAACATTTAGCTTTTATAATTTCCCTGTTGATAAGCGTGATGAATCGCCTACATGGGAATCTATGTAAAAATAAATCAAATCAACATAGAATCATCTTTCTTTTCTTATTTCAATGACAAAATAATTTTTGATTTGGTTAAATTTTCTTTTGCGTTTTTAATAACAAGAAAAACATCAACAAGAGTCAAACAACGTAACAATCACACTGACACGACAAAGGGTTTTTCAAACATTCTCTCTTTCTTACACTGTAAGGGTGTGGGTGTGGGTGTGGGTGTGGATGTGAGTTAATTGAAGATAGAAACCCACACCCACACCCTCAAGGTTCTGCCAACAGTTAAAATAACATAAGAACGATCATTATTAAATTCATTTTATGGTAATATTTACTATTATATGTTTGGCTCATACTCTCTAATATCTTTTAATTAAACATTGAGATATAAAATATGATAAATTGTTGGTTGTTGTCATAAATAAACTAAATAGATAAAGAAAACTATTGTTTATTGATTGATTTTGAATGATACAAATTGCATTATGATATTCATATTTCCTCATTTAAGATACATAAATTAAATAAATAAATAAATGAATAAAGAACTCTACTTTTCTTTGTTCATGATATATGAATAATGTTAGAAAAAAGACTACCACCAAAATCAATTGTTATTCCTATTATTATGAATCTAGACAAAGAGTACAGTTTAGAAGCATTGATATTTTGTTTTAAAAAAGCCTTAACCTATTCTATATAATGTACTTTTTTCTTTCCATCAAAATTTTAACAACAAAAAAAAAGTGTCTTGCTTTACTCTGCAAATTACTGAATGAAATATTATAATGAAATGGAAGTGTTGCTTTTCTTTCAATTACTCTGAATAGTTCATATTTTGAGGAATATGATTTTTTTCCACATAAGGAAAGTTAACGCCGTATTCAAGTATTTCTTGTCCGGATTCGCCTCTGAACTTGTGTTGGATTCAGAATTCAATTCTCTATCAATTGATATTATTTTCGAGGGAGGAAGGGTTTATCGGCATATTGATTATTATAAATCAATAGTACAATTCTTTCGATGTTAATTCCTCTGCATGGTTACTAAAAAAATATCATTATATATAAGTATACTATTGAAATCTTCTCATAATCATGTAAGTTTGATCAAAAAGACATTTTTTTTACTGTTTCAATAGCAACTATTGCTTGTATTCTATTACTTCACTGCTTTGTTGTATATTCATGATGCGTTAAAAAAGAAGACGTGCGATTTCGCCTGCCACTTGACAATTAATAAAGAAAAAGAAAACTCTCTTCATATATAGCTCATATAAAACATATTTTTATATAAATTCAGGCCAACACTGATTATGAAAATAATTAAGGTTTTAAGTGAAAGAAAAGAAAAGAAAAGAAAGAAATTTTTTTATTCTATGAAAATGCTGAACAAATATGTATATAAATACTTATTGAATAATTGTAAAGGAGAGGAAGAGAAACAAAAGGAAAAAAACAATAAGAAATATTTCTAATAATAAATAAATATATAATGCGCAAGGTCTTTCGAATTTCTTTTCAAGCAATGGGTGAAGAGAGTTTTTGTAAATGTTATTATAAAATGATATTAATTCATGTTATTAATGTAGAAGATTATTGTAAGTGATGATACTAATGCAGAACATATCATGAATAATGATATTAATGTAATATTGATGCAGAAGAATAGTTATCAATCTTGTGATTTTCAATACGATTATTCCAGAAGGTATATTGTTATATAGTTAAAAAAACTTTTGGTAGGACAATTTTCAAAAAATGAGACGTACGCTGCGACTGATCGTTTTGTTCTTCAAAAAAAAATGAACCATGTTTGAATAAGATTTCATGATGAGTAGATTCTGTCCAAATTTCCTTTCTTAACATATAAACAAAACCAAAATTATTTTTAATAATAATTATACGAAGTTTTCTTTCAGAAAAGGGTCTGCGAATCCGTAGGATGAGCGTTACTTGTATATATAATATACATTCATATACTCTCAAGGTATTATGTTAATAGGATAAGTATTGATGGATGGTCGTATCTATATAAATATTTTATAAATAATTGCTAGTTAGATATCAGGTATATGTTCCGAGTTACTTCGAAGCATTCTCGCGCTTCCAACCAAAATTAACATAAACTTGTATCATGAATTTCAAACTGAGAGGGTCTAAGTGTAGGCAAAAGAGATATTCAGTAACACAATTGTAGATGGTTTGTAACCATTTTCAACAATATATTTGATCGTAGACTTTAAAATAACTTTTATTTTAGTTTAGTTTAAAGTATGATCATGAACTTACAAGGTTAAGTGCAGACTTACAAACAAAGATGATGAAATAAAATATTTCTAAATAGTTTGTGTAAACTATTTTATGAAAATATTGTTAATACTCTTTAATAACCATTAACTGATCTGACAGACTTATCATTAGTCGTCATTCTAATATTTGTGTAAAAGATTTCTGACAAAATTTTGAGCTATACGTATCTATGTACTCCAGAGTATTCTAAATATTATATACTTGACTTTCCTCTTTATAGGACTCTCGTAATATCTACTTCGAACTAGATTCAGTTTTTTTTAATTACTTGCATGCATGTTTTCATATCCAGAAAATTTACCTTGTGAGATTATATCTGTGTTCTTTGAATAGAAATACAATGATAAAAATTATTGTTTTATGTAAAAAAAATCAAATGAAAGTTTTCTAACATTTTTTGAGAATAAGCTATAAAAGATTAATTGATATTATTGTGTATGTTTTTATTCTTTAATTACTACAACACATATAGTAACAAAAATGTATATATTTCTTCATAAGCTTTTAATTTTATGAATCAACTTCATCTCGTATGTTATTCAACGTAACATTCGATGCCAATTGATCTTCTAGTGTTGCAAGTGTAGGTTGTTGAACTTTTTCAATAATACGATCCCTGTTTTCACAACATACTGCAAAATCGATGTGATCCATTGGTAAAATTTTTTTATAAATGTCTAATGCTTGATTGAAACATTCAAGCGCCTTCTGGTAATTACCCAATTTTTCATATACAGCGCCCATGTCGCTTAAAGTTGTTGCGATTGATGGATGAACTGCTGCTAAAATCTCGTTTTTTTTCTGCAAAACATCTTGAAGGATATGTAAAGCACTTTCATGGCGTTCTTGTGCTGTATGGATTTTGGCCTTGAGACTATTTGTTGCGAGAGTCAGCATTGAATGGTGTTTCAACAAATTGTTTAATTTTTCTTCAGCTTGTTTCTGATGCTCATCGGCCTTTTCATTATCACCTAATGCTAAATAAGCTAAGCCAAGATTATTATGTGTGTTAATTGCTTGAGAACTATTAGACATATTATTATCACGATATCTGTCAAGTGCCTTAGTATAACTTTCGATTGATTGTTGTAGAAGATTCATTGCTTTATAAGTAAGACCAAGTAGATTATAAATATGTCCAATTTCTTTATCATCTTCTGGAAGTTCTTTAAGAAGAATATTTGCATAACGTTCAGCTTTATCAAATTCATTTATACGATATAAAAACCAACCATAAGATATAGGACTTGGTTCTGAACCGATCTCATTTTTCATATAATTAAATAGATTTTGACAAAGTTCATTTTGTTGATTACTTAGTTCTAAATTTACATGCCATATATTATTATCTTTTTTAACTGATATAACTTTGAAAATAGCACCAATGGAAAATAATACTTCTTCTTCATCACGACAACATGAAAAATTCTGAATAAATCCAAACGGTATTGTGTCTTTCGTTATATTATAAATATTAATAGTAAATAAAACAGATTGTAAGGGTGATGTTTCATTTGATTGATCACTTGTATCTGCAAAGATTTCAGCTAAATCTTTTATTGTTGTGGCACTTAAGAAACTAGTCATCGAAATAAGTTGATTAAGACTTCTTTGAAGTCGATAAATTTCATCGATCTTCATACGTTGACCATAATAAAGAGTTAAACTATGATTGATAGTAGATGAATGTGTTTGTAAATATTGTTGATAGAGTTGTGAAATTTGATTATGAAGATCATTAATGAAAAATCGAAATTTGAATATAATCTCAGTGTTTTGTGTTCGAAGAGCTTTGTTTAATAATCGATATATACAACTATCATATGTATACCACCAACATGCTTTTGTTGATTCATAAGTTTGTTCGAAATCATTGATTTTCTTTTGTTCAACTTCATCATTATGATAAGTTACTCGACATTCTTTAATCATTTCAGTTTTGGAATTACAATGTTTTGCCATCAGATAAAGGACTGTTAGCAGTAGTCGATACCACATAAAAGATATACTCTCTGTAGTTAGATTTTGAAAAAATTTTTGTTTTTCTTCGATATGAAATACACTCATTGGTAATTTACAATCTCTTCTATGTGCACCAACATCACCATCACATATTTTGTTTAATAATGTCTTTTTATCAGTAAATATGCCAATAATTTTTGTGTATGGTTTTGTCCAATGTTCAGCTACTTGTCGATTACCACAATATACATAAATAGTTTGTATTTGTGGACATTCATGAATAAATGGTACGACTGTTGGACCAAATTCATTTGAGACAATAAAAATGATTCGTTTTTCCTGTAAGTTTGTGAGTATTTGTTCAATACATAGATCGGGTTCAATAAATGTTTGTAAACGACCTCGAACTATTTGTCTTAAAAGCGATTCTGTATCACAATGTGACTTTGAATTTTCTATTGTACTATCTAACCAGATGAAAACCGAATTTTCAACAATATTGTTGATGTTATTGTCTGCCATTATGAGAAAAAATAAGAATAATGAATAATTTATTTCACATGTTTTTTTTCTTTCTTTTGCTCGTAAATTGAAAACAAGAGAACAATAAATTTACGTTTAAAAGCCAGTTTGTGTTAAAAGCATACATGTTACTCGTTTGCTTTTGTTTTTACATCGCGATAGAAACAAAACTAGTCTAGAATAGAAAAGAAAAAGATTACATCATCAGCTACGGCCAATCTAAAAAGCCTATACGTGTAAATGTGTTTTTGACTAGGCCGTTAATAAAAAATGATGCAGACTGACCATTCTCACCATCGAATATGAAATATATTAAGTTCGCTGTCTCATATCGTCATTTTCCGGAGGAATTTGAACACGTACTTAATCAAAATGTAACACTAAACATTAAATATTCATACAAAATAGTTATGTTCTGTAAGAGTCGCATTGAATGAAAACGTTGAAAAGATAATAAAGCATATAAAAATTTGACACTGAACATGGAGTATTTGGGATTACATATTAATATAATTTGTATTAAACTTCTTCCGAAAAATGGTATAAAAAGGCAATGAGTAAAATATCTATACATAACTATTCACGCAAGGACTCTCCGTACATTATCAGTTTTATATTCAATGTTTCACGATCTAATAGCTCTTGATTTGAAAAAGAAAAATGTGTTCGATACTTTCTTCACTGTTACCTATCGCATATGATAGAAAAAGCCAATAGATTAAACTATCTCATTATTATTCATAATATGAAATTCAGATTTAAATTCTTTATATTAATTTGCATTGTTATTTTTTTCTATATATTCACAAAATTAAAGTTCGATAAAATGATTTTGTTAAAAATTTGAAATATTCCTCCTTTTAAAAACAGAATTTTCAATCTTTTCCTGGATGATTGAATCTACACAAATATTTCATAAGTAACCATAGGTGTCGATGTGAATACGATACAGTCTCGCACCCACACCTTCAAGAAATTGATCAAGTAAAGATAAGGAAGTGACGAAAGATTTAGTAACTATACGCTGTATTTGAATAATACAAATTATATATTTATCACAACATTGTTCTATCTAATCTTGTTTATTAGTTGCATTTGTTTGTGTCTATTATTTCAATAATTACAGCTACTACCTTTGATTTATATTATTTTCGCAAAAGTCTAGCGCTTCCTACAACTCCTAACAATCTTTTGAATTAATTAAGTTACCTGGAGATGACATATAATATGTTCATTTTGCTACATATGAACATTCTTAAATACAATTACAACTAACATGACTATCGATTGAACGATATATTCTAATTCTTCATTCAAACTTATTTTCAACCAAAATAAACCATTTTTTTCTCCCATTATCTACCTTTGGCTATATATATTTTGTGATTCATAGTATTTTAATTACTTACATTAATCATTCTACCTTGTAATCGCTATGGGTATCTTCTTAATAAACCTTGAGATTTCTTGTTCGATAGTTTTGTACATGATATTATATGGTATCAACTTCTATCACTGTACTATGTAATGTGACTTTGTGTGCACGTGTGTTATACTATAGATATCATATTCCTTAAAAAAATCGAATAAAGAAGTTCCAAGAAATTGACAGTTCAATCATTATCGATATCAACACTTTATATTTGATTGGTTTTCATTAGTATGATTATATGCTGTTTATTCAGTCGACCTGCTATGTGATTTTACTAGTGGCTGTTAGATAGACAGTTAGTTATTCGTTTATATTGTATACTCCATTTATAACTATTATGTCATTGCCTGATGTGACAAGAAAATACAAAAATGTGTTTTTAAGCAAGTGTTGATCGTCAAAATCATTTGTCATATATTTAATATTATTGTTTTTTTTATTGATTATTAGCATGTTTCATTTATTTATAATTGTTTTCTAATCGTGGCTGCCTGTATCTATAAATGTAATGTATCGCATTGTTTTATTTATTTTTCTCAGGGGTAGCAAAGTTACTTTATTTTACCAGTAACTACATGGTAATAAATAGTATTATTCTAGGAAGATATCCCTATGGTTTGAGATAGTGTCAACAATAAATTTTATACCAAATGAGAGCTCGTCGAAAATGGGGTTTGCAAGTATAACTCGTCATTTAGAAAGTGAGAATACCGTGGAGAAAGGGATTTCTCCCTGAGAATTCTACGAACACAGCAATTTTTTGTCTTATAGTAAGCGCGTTGAGCTATTGTTAAGCGAACTAACTATATTTTCTCGTACAAACAGTTTTCTCGTAATAATCCAAGCAGAACGATTTCTCCCAATGTGTGCTATTTTCTCTTTGTAGTCGCACTCCTTTCTCTTTGAAATTTGAAAGAAAAAATAGTTGTTTTTCAAGGAGAAAATGTTTCATAATCAAAGAGAATGAAAAATGGTGTGGAAAACAATTAGTGACATATATGCCACAGTCTTGACCAAAACATTTTTACATTTTGTGTGATACCGTTTGAATGTATAACTAAAAACAAATTTCTACAAATGAGTCTTACTCAGAATTTTGTACTCATCAGAAGTTGGTATGAAACTTTAACATATAATATTCAAGAATACGGAAAATCTCTGCCTACTACTCGTGACTGGAATGACCCGCGACCAATCATGACCACTTCTTGTTATTGATAGTAAGTACTAGTCTTCTGTACTTAAGTATTATATCTTAAAGTTTCATGCTGCATTTTCATTATTACAAAATTCTTAACAAAATACACCCGTAGAAATAATTCTTTAGTTATATATAGATTCAAACTTTATTATACAGAACTTGAAACGTTTTTCGTCAGGGTGTGATTGATATGACCGTCTTTATGTCTAGGAGAAAATAGTTAAAATCTAAGAGAAAATGAATAGATTTTGACGACTACAGTGATGATGACAATATTGATGGAAAGTAGATAAAATATTAGACAGCATTTTAAAACTGTTAATGGGAGCCATCTTTGTGTAGAAAAATGAGCTCATTTTCGTTGACTTAAGATTTCTGCCTAGATTCATTGGCACAAAAAAGAAAAAAGAAGAAAATATTACTAAATAATAATCAAACATTGAATAACTCCAAAGAAGAATATATTTTACTAAAAAAAATCTAATAGAAACATTGTTTCTTCCTGAAACTTTCCCCCGGTAAGAAAAATCAAACGAAAACATTGAACACTCCGTTAAGTAGGATAGTCAGTTACTAAAGCATGAAATTCTCAGAAATGCTTTTTTGTTTATTAGACTTTGTGGAGTTCTCTTTGGTGGACTTTTGGTAATAACTTTCTTCAAAGTTGATCAATATATAATGATGTTAAGATCAGAATACTTAAACATATCTGAGCTATAACAACCAAAGCATTTTGAAAGTTCCGGTACTCCGACCCCAAGGTCTTTATGAATTGATCAAGTTTAAAAAAAACTTTAAATAAAATGATAAGTAAAGAAAGCTTTACAGAGCCGCATTAATAAAAAATATTTCTGCTAATTTTATGTTATTGTCGTTAACTATTCATGGGCATATCCGTTCATAACAAACTTGTTTTAATTCTTCAGTTCATGTTAGTAATTACCAGTAACTACGTAACTACAAAGTAAAGTAACTCTGCCACCCCTAGCTTTTCTATTAATACATAAAATCGATATATATCTAAACGTATGAATGTCAACTTCAGTGTAAAAGGTAAAAATTAATTACAAATAAAGCTTATGATACAATCTAGATCATAAAACTGTCTTTAAGAGAGCAAAATACAAAAATGTCAAAAATACCGGTCATCCTATATTTGTATCGTTTAGCAATATTAAATATCATTGTCAGGAAAAAAATTAAATTAAACAATAATCTTAAAATATCGTCTTGATATTGAATATCTACATGTTTTATATCGTTTAACAAGAACAGGATTTTAAATGATATTATTAACTAGTATTTAAGACATAATAGAGGATATATGAATTGTGTAACTCATTGATGTAGACACAGATTAACCTATGTTAAATGCTATGATAATCGTGTTTGATATACTCATTTACGCGACTGAATAGATCTTGTGCAAGCATATATATATTGAAAGTTAAAAATAATAGTAGATATAATTGAAGAATATTGCTCAAAGCAGATTTATTATAGTTTAACATTATCTACATGTGTATTTTACTTTTGTATAAACTAGATGGATTTTGAATCACTTTCTATTTATTTAGTAACGCGTGATCATTTACAAAGAAAAAAACAAGTTGAGTATACGTACAATATTGATATATGACTCAGTTTCAATTGAAAAAAAAGCTTTCCTATGATAACTGTCTATCTATACGTATCAAAGTGCATGTCATCACCTACTTTTTGCTTTTCATGGGTACTGAAAAAAATATTGTTTTTTATTTTTTCTTCTTCTGTTATATAAAAAATGTAATTTATCGTCATGGTTTATTAGTTGCTAGTTGAAATACGCAGATAATAATTGATTCAAATTATTTAGCTTTTATTTTTCGTACACTCACTTTTTGTAATCATGCAATATAATAGATATGGACCTGTAAAACTGAACTGGAGTCCTTGGAAATCTTTACCATTAATGATAGCTGCAGGTGCTGGGACAGGTTTAGTTGTTATAGGTATAGCATTAGGATTAGGTTTGGGTATTGGATTACATAATGATAGTCAAAATCTTACCTATTACACACAAAGTACAACTAATAGTACAACAACAATAACAACATCAACAACAACAACCACAAAAATAACGACAACCACAACGACAACAACCACAACAACCACAACAACAACGACGACAACAACGACGACAACGACAACAACGACAACAAAAACGACAACAACAACAACAACGACGACAACGACAACTGTAGCAGCAGGATAGTTATAATAAATAGATATTTTTGATTATTTTGTCAAATTATTTATATATATATATGTATATTCGTTCTTTTTTTTATTTTTCATCAATTTCTACATCTTTTTATCTCTCTCATATAGGTATATCAACAAAAAATAAAAATATATATACACAAATATCAGAGTTGTTCATGTATGTGAAAATTATTTACCAAAATAATCTGTAGTTACCTTCAAGAACGCACTGTACAGTATATGTACTTAGTATTGAAAAATATTATAAATGGCTTCGAACAAAACATAAAATACCATACTGGATGCAGAGCTAGAACTTCTAAAATTTATAAAGGATAGATCATTGGATAGGGACTGAATTTATCTAGAGAATAGACGACATCTTATTGAACGATAGAATAGAATAAACTAAAAGGTTGTAAGTATTCAGAATAAATGATCTTACACCTATAGTTATTTGTAAATTTAATAAAATATTATTACGGAAGTATTATATAGAGATTGCTTTTTCTCCTTTACATGTAATGTAAAAATAAATGGCTTCTAAGTGATAATTTATTCTACCGACAAAATAATATTACACTGCAAGCATATCAGAAATCGTCTGTAGGATGTGAAACAAGTGCCGTATATTTTGATAGTAAACAAAAGGTTATTAAATAGTTTTCATTTCAGTATTTTTGTCAATTACCTGTGACATATTATCACGAAAAATTTTTTTTTTGAAAAAAAGTTACAATGTTAAACAAAATTGCATGTTTATTGCGCTTTTATATAGTATCAAAACGTGTTTATACGAAGTACCTTTTGGATGAAATATAAAATCACGCGTGTTGACTATTATATTTTATCATTCCTCTCTCACCACTAGTAGAAGCTAGATATGATAATCAATATATCAGAATAAAACCTTCAAGTAGTAATAGTTTAAAAACAAATAGTTGTTCGTGTTACGTAATTATATTTGTATGTAGAGTTTTGAAGCACGCTATTTTTGATTATACAAGAGTGAAAACATTATTTTCGTAAGACACCTATTTAAGGGCTAAGTAAAATTTGTATATACTCGATAAGTAATTTCAATGTTCAATAAATTTATTGAATGCTCATGCAGAATAATATTTCTTGTTAATTAAAATTTTCTCTAAGTATATTAATCAATATATATGCTAAGTTTCTAATTATAAGGTGAATTTATTGAATTTATCGGTAAAAAGCACATTTTGGCAAGTAAAAAACATAAATTTGGTAAGTAAAAACGAATGACGGGCAAGTCGTTATTTTCTGTTCGTTTATTTTTACACATATCACATATACTTCAATTTTTTTCATTTCTGTCCATCCCATATGTTAGGTTCTTTCTTTCTTTTTTCTACTTGTCACCTTTTCATATGTATATTATGTTTGTTGAGATTTATTCCAGCCTCTCTACCTCGATCACCCCATGAATATTTCCCAAGAATATACGATCCACTCCCCTATATACGGTCTGTGCTTTTTACAAATAAATAGTGTGTGATCCAAGTATCCTGATATTCAGTCTTATTCAAAAATATTGTATTCGCACTACACACACACTCAAACCGAAAAGCAACCAACGTATTGCTAATTGATTAACTATTCAATGAAATTTTTTACTTAGCAAAAATAAAAATTTTTACTAGTTTTCAACTAAATTTACTTAGCGCTTAAATAGATACATTTTCCTACTATACATAGTCATTTTTTTGGCTTAAATGTATTCGATAAAAATAGAGAAAATAATTTACTTTTAAAGTTCCTATGTACTAAATTACTCTTGATAATCAATAGAGTTTTTTGATTAATTATTAACATATTAAATCATAATAATTCAACAAATATATTTATTGATAAAAGAAAAGCTTTCTTAGATTAATAATGACTTATTAATATTTGTTCAGATGATATCGTAATGATGGAATGTTTTGTAGTATTCTTTATATTTTTCATAAATAATCATGATCGATTACTTCAAGATGTATATGAATCTTCGAACATAATTATATAAAAAAAGAATGAAAGATAATGGTAATATAGCGGTAGTACCGCAAGCAATTCCTAATTAATTGTTAGAAAGGGAAGTTGCTGGTGTCTTGACAGGAAAAAAAGGATAAAAAAAGAAGCTTGGCAATGTCTTTCTTCTTCTTTTTTTTTATTCTCAAAGCTTTTCTTTTCAATGTAGATTTATCGTCATACAGAAGCGAAGAAAAAAAAGTGATGACGAGAAGGCAATGTGGTATTCTCTCGCATCGTTAAACAATTGTGATGATAATTCTCATACAATAGAACAGTATAACACCGAAACGACAACTTAGATCTGTTCAATAAATAAAAGAACACAATAAATCTTGTTTATAAATAGAGAACAGGTAAATTGTCAAGGTTTGTCAACCCACAACACTTAAACATATCCAGAAATATTTATATATATATTTTCATTTAATTTATCTTAGGAAGCATTATTCGACAATGTGTTTAACTTATGTTTGTCACTCATCAATACTCGTTGTCGGTTTATATATATATGTGTTGAACGGTATACGTTCATAATGGAGCTGTAAAGATGATCGATGCGTCGAATGGTGATTATTCTATTAAGAGAACGTCGATAATCTAAACAAGAACAATACTTCTGCTGTCTTACTTATTCATCCGCCTTTCTTCATTTACGTGAGATAGACATTCAATGAACAAATTTGTTTTCCGCATGTGTATATGTATATGCATATATATATTCGTCTGCTCATCACATTGATTTGTATTCATTAAATACCATTCAAGCGAACGATTATCTTCATTTTACAATAAATATTCTATCATGTTGATCGGGTATGTATTACATTGATAAACATATATGTGAAATATTATTTCAAATTCATACTATATATTATCTTTTATTTCAGTTATTGCATCCTTCTTTTCCTATCAAATTTATTCTCAATAAATGCTCAAACAGCTTGTAATTTATTAAATCTTCCACGTGAATGTCAATGTCAACGAACTCGTCATACATCACTATTTTTCATTAATGAAACATATGTCCGATGTCGTCAATTAACTGAAATAACTACAAATCATTCTTGGTCAAATATATCATATGATCGTTTAATATTTGAAACATTTCAAGACAATTTAACATTACATCAATCAGTTTTTGCTAATATTTTTGTTCGAACATTACGTTTTAATGTACAAAATCTTATTTTAAATGATTATTCATTTCAAAATGCTTATATAGGTCAATTAATGATATCTTATAATGATATACGTGGTAGAATTAATTTTCAAAATAATTATCAAATATTTTCTGGTTCAATTATAACAAATTTATATTTTAAATTCATAGATTTTCAAACTATTATATCGGAAATAATTTTTTCTAATACACGAATTCATACATTAACCATTCAATCATCAAAATTCTATGGTTTTACAAATAAAAAACTCGAGATTATTCCAAATACTCTCTCAAAATTAAAATATGATTCTTTCTTAGAATATGATTATTCATTATCAACAAATTTTAAAAAAATTTCCTATGAACCTGAATATTCTTATCCTTTATATTTAACCAGATATACAATTATATCGAGTATTAATACAACAAATTTAACCGAAAATTATTTTCCAAATAATCTCGATTATAATCAATTGGAAGAAATTGAATTAAGTTTTAATCAAATCAATACTCTTGATGCACATGTTTTTCGTTATTTAAAAGAATTTCATGGACGATTAATATTAATTCATAATGAAATTTATCATATAGATCCATATGCATTCATAGATTTATATTTAGTAAAAAATTTATCATTAGCAAAAAATTTTATT